TCATCTACTTATACTTTGCCTTCCACTCAAGGAATATGAGAATTGCAGTCCCTTCCTCTTTTTAATCTAAAGGAAAAGGTATTTATGTAGTTTAATGCAAATCTTCTTTCGAATTTAATCATACATATAGGAAGTGTGCAGACTATGGATTGTTACAACATGAGCACACCCATGTAACCAATACTTGGATAAAGAGAAAATTACCAGTACCCCACTAGTCCCCTCTTCTGCCTTATAGTCACCAGCAATCAATGGGAATCACTATTCTGATTTTGAACACCATAGATGAGTTTTACCTGTTGTATTTTATATAAGTGGAATCATAAAATAAACAGTTTTCTGTCTTGCATTTTTGTCTTAGTATAATATTTGTAAGAGTCAGCCATCCTCTTTCATATATTGTAATTTGCTGATTCTCATTACTGTGTGGTATCCCAGTGGTGAATATGTCAGTGACTATTGATGGATACTTGTTCTTTGCTTTTTTGTTTTAATGAAGTAGTACTGCTGTGAACATTCTTGCATATCTGTTGAACTTGTATAAGCATTTCTGTTGGTATATAAACAGTGTACATTTGCTGCATCACAAGAAATGCTTATGCTCAGCTTTAATATCTGCTACCAGTTTTTTAAAGTAGTTGTACAAATTCCACTCTCCTCCTACTTCCAATAGTGCATAGAAGTTCCAGTTGTACCAGTCTTGCTGACTTTTGGTTTGGGCTTACTTTTAAATTGTAATTATACTGTAGCATGCAATGAAGTTCATTGTACTTTTTACTATTAATTTATCTCATGACTAATAAAGTTGGACATTCTTTCATATGTTTACTGGCAACTTAGATATCTTCTTTGGTGATATGCCTATTTTTTGTTGGATTGTTTGCTTATTTTTTATTTGGCTGTAGTTCTCATATTCTAGATGAGAACCTCTTTGACATATATATTTCAAGTATCTTCTACCATTTTGTGGCTTGTCTTTCACTCTGTTGGTAGGGTCTTTTGATAAACAGAAACTTAAAATATTTCTGAACCTAATTTCAATATTTTCCTTTATGCTTAGCACTTTCTGTATACTGTTTAAGAAGTCTTTGCCTTTTCCAAATTCATGAAAATATTCCCATATGTTTCTTTCTAAAAGTTTTATTTTTCACATCAAGACCTAGAATCCACCTGGAATGATTATTTTTTTAGACATAGGTTCATATTCTATTTATGTGAAAGGAAAATTGGTTAAAATAAGAGAATGACTTTTCTTAAGGTGACATTTTTTTTGTCTCAAATATTCATTCATTAGATCTGGAATTTTACAAATGACTTATAAACCCTCTAATTTGTGTTATATAACTACAGTTATAAACTGAATGACTTGATGAGTTGACATAATGTCATAAAAGACGACACTAAGCCACACAGCCTAGAATTTTTTGAAACTGATGTTTGTGAAATAGGCGCCTGTATTCATTTTTTCTTCCTATGTGTATGTCCAGTTAACCCAGGACCATTTAATAGAAAGATAATTCTTTCCTCATTGCACTTTAAAATTTGTCAAAAATCAGGTAACTCTATGTATGTTTCCAGACTCTTCTTCCTGTCCTACTGATCTATATATCAATCCTCTGCTAATTTCTCACTGTCTCAATTTCTATAGCTTTATAATAAGTCTTGATGTCTCATAGTGTAAGTCCTCCAGTGTGTTCTTCAAAATGGACTTGAATTTGTCTGTTGTTGTTTTGCCTTTTGCAGTTCCATATAAATTTTATATTTGTTATGTCAGTTTCCAGAACAAATACCTGCAGAGATTTGATTGGAACCATGCAGAAATACAGATCAATTTGGAGGGATGACATCTTGACAATATTAAGCCTTGCAATTCATGAATATGGTATATTCCTCCAATTATTTAGGTCTTCTCTTGATAATATTTTGTAGTATTCATTTAGAGGTCTTGCATATTCTTACTAATGTTTCCAAGGTATCAGTTGTTTTTTGGTGTTATTATACATGGTATCATGATTTTAATTCATTTCCCATTTGTTTGTTGCTGATATATGACATAACAATTGGTTTTGTATGTTGGCCTTGAATCCAGTGACCACAGTAAATTATCTTAATTACAGAAGTTTATTTTGGATTTTCTGTGTACATCTGGTGTCTTTTGTGAAAATGTACATTTTGTTTCTAATTTTCCAATCTTTGTTATTTTCTTTCTTTTACTTGATTTACTGCACTGACTAGAACTTCCAGTACATCACTGCGTAGAAGTGGTGATGGAGGAGAAAAGTTTCAATATTCCCCTATGGGGTAAAATGTTCTCTGGTGTATGTGTTTTGTTTTAGGTATTATTTAGCAGATTAAAGAAGCTCCCTTCCTGCATTGCTTTTCTTTTTTTTAATCATGAATAGGTGTTGAATTTTTATTAAGTATTTTTTCTGCATCCATCAAAATAATCATATAATTTCTTCCCCTTTTTTATGTTAATGTGGTAGACTATTCTCATTGATTTTTAAATGTTAAACAACTATTGCATTACTGGAATGAACCCCACTCAGTTGTAATGTATAATGCTTTTTGTATAGTGCTGAAGTTGAATTTCTAATATCTTGCTTGGGGATTTTTGCTTCTGTCTCAACCTTTTTCATGAGAGGAATCACCCTCATAGGTTTGGTTTTAAGGTAATGGTGATTCCTAAAATGAAACACTGTCTCTTTTCTTACTCTTTGGAAAATTTGTAAGAATTGTGTTATTTTCTTCTTAAATGTTTCAAAGACTTTACCAGTGAAGCTACCTGTTTAGAGTTTTGTCAGTGGAAAGGTTGATTCCAGATTAAATTTCTTTAATAGCTAGAGAAATGTTCAGATATTCTGATTCTTAATGTTTCAGTATTGGTAAGTTTTGTTTTTCAAGAAATTTGTCCATTTCATCTAAATTTCAGCTTTACTGATATCAAGTTGTTCACAATATTATTTTTACATGTTTAATGTTTACCGGTTTATAATAAAGGATATTTTGAAGGATACAGATGAACAGTGTGAAAATTAAGAAAGGGAAACCTCACTGAAGTGCAGTGGGGTAGCCAGCAGAGGGGACAGTCATGCCCACCTGCCCACCACTCCTCTTCCATTGCAGACGCCGCTGAAAGTAAGAGACAGACACTTCCCAAGTCATAATGCTTTGGCCACTTTACTACTGAGCAGGAGGAAGAAAGGTTTCTGCTGCCCCTGCAACAACCCAGCCAATGAGAGACTGTCACAGCTCAGCCAATGAGAAGCTACGATATGTGGAACTACCAGTTTACTCCAGTGGACTTCTGCTTAGAACAGCCAGCCCAACTGGGCCCTTTCCTTTATAAAAGAGTGGCCCAGTCCTTTGTTGTCCAGACTTGCCTCTGGCTTTGCTGTAGCTTGCATGTCCTGAAGTATAATTCTCTGCTATTTCCAAATAAACCCATTTTTTGCTGGTAAAATGACAGTTTTACTTTTAAGGTTAACGACATCCAGATGAATCCTGAGCGTGAGAGCTTCTGTCCCTGAGGAACTGGGGTATACCACCCTCCCAACACGTGGGTAAATTCACCAGCCTGAAAGGTACACATCTTTAATGTGGGGACGACTCTTACTATAATTCTTTTTTCATTGCTGGTATTGGTAATTTGTATATTCTCCTTCTTACTGATTAGAACCACTAGGGTTTTATTCATTTTATTAATTTTCAAGAATAGCCAACTTTTGGCTTTATTGATTTTCTCTATTACATAGTCATTTGTTATTTCATTAATTTCTGCTCTCAACTTTCTTTGGGCTTTGTTCTTTTTCTAATTTTTATAAAAGCAAGTAAAGACCATTGGTTTTCAGCCTCTCTTCTATGCTAATATATGCACTGAGAGCTGTAAATTTTCCTACAAGAAACTCGTTTTCTTCATATGTTGTGTTTTTATCTAAAATACATTCAAATGGACACTGTAATTTTAAAAATACTATAATTCGCATTGTGAATTATTTGACTTTGTTTAGAAATGTATTACTTGATTCCCAGTGTTTTTAATTTCCTATTGATCTTTTGTGTCTATTTTTGTCTAGCTTAATTTTGCTATGGTAAGAGAACATGCTGTGAATGATCTCGATCTTTTGAAATGTGTTGAAAATTGTTTGGTGGCCTCCATACACTCACTTTTTGTTGTTTAGCATACTTTCAATAATATGGAGGATACAGTGGTTGTTGGGTATTTTGTTATATGCATACTATATCTAAAAAAAGTACCTGTAATATTTAAATAAAATACATATATGTACCCAATTGTGTTGTTCAGATCCATCTTTGAATATTTTAATCTGATTTTTCTGTTAGCACTGCAGACACTGTTAAAGTTCCCCACTATGATTGTTGGTTTGTCTAATTCTTTTAATTCTGTCAACTTCTGCTTTATATATTTTTAAATTATGTTTTTGAGTGCATACCTATTTGGGATTGTGATATCTTAGTGGTGGGTTAATCCTTTTATAATTATGATCATTATGAAATGCCTTTTTTAAATTATGTTTCTTGCCATACAGACTTTTCTAGTGTTGGTATAGTGACACCAGTTTCTTTTGGCTATTATGTGCATGATTTTTTTTAATCCTTTTGTGTTCAGTATTTATGTGTCCTTATATTTGAAGTGTGTCTTTTATAAGCAGCATATATTTTTAAAATTCCATCTGACAATCTTAGACTTTTAATTGGCATATAGAGTTTGTTGACATGTAATGCAATCACTGATTATTTTGGAGTCATCTATCACCTATTTGTTTTCTATTTGGCGAACCTGTCTTATATTCCCTTTCTTCTTTTTTTCTAGTCTTCTAGTGGTAGGAAGCCAAGCCAAGAAAAGGGACAATGTTTCCTTAAGGCTTTAAGAACGCAGAGGAATACCAGGCTGCTTGACTTTAAAGCAGTGTAACAATGTACCCCCTACCGGACCCAGTGATATGGAACAACTTGTTCATCATAGTCATGGAGGCCCATTAGTTTACAATAGAGTATCCGTGTACCCTTTATTGAGATAGGTTAAGACATAACCAGCATTCTGCCTGAACCTATAGTACAGTAACAGCACTCCGTGCAACATTCTTGGGGACTGACTCTCCTTTGCCCTTGTAATGAATGTATAAAAGGCATGGGACCCCCCTGTGCTCGCGCCTAAGCCTTTGGATAAAGATCTGCTGAGCCAGTGCCCTCACTAATAATAAACCCCTTCTCACCATTCGTCTCGGTGTCCCGACTTGTTGTTCGTTGTTCCCGCAGTTCCTGCAACATTACAGTTAATCAATTTTTTAATTAGTCCATCCTTTTCTTTGTATTCACGTGTTAGTTATATATTCTTTTCATACTCATTTAGTGAATACCCAGTGAATCACAACACACCCTTACCTTATCACAGTGTAAGGAGCATTATCACTTCTACAACTTCCTTGCTAATGCTAAGGACTTTATACATTTTAAATTTACTTCGCCAGTGATGTTATTGTTATGCACTTTTATTACATTTATAGTTTAAAATGCCATAAAATGTGATTACTTGTTTAAGTCAATATTCATTTTTAACCACATTTTTATTATTTTCATTGCTTTTCACTCCTTCCTCAGTTTCTGTTTCCATCTAAGGTTATTTTTGTGCTCTGTGAAGAATTCCTTTCCATTAATACAATCTTCAGGTAAAGAATTTTTGGGGGGTTTTTAAGAGTTTGGTAGTATTTTTTTTCCCACTGAGTGTTATATGATGCTCTGTTAATTTGTTTTCTTGCACAACTTTAATAATGTCACTTTCTTGTTCTCTTTTGTCCTTAATTTCTGTTGAGAAGTTAACTGAAGTCATCACTTGCTCCTTTGAGGTAATGTGTCTTTTTCCTTTAGCTGCTTAAAAGTTCTCATCTTCCTTATGTTCCTTTGTTTGATTATGTTATGCTTAAGTGTGATTTTGCCCCAGCTGTGAATATGTGGACTGTTGGAAATTGCTTTTGGAAAATTCTCTGCCATTATTTATTTAAATATTCCTCCTGCATATTCTCTGTCAACTCTACTTCTGTGAGTATAATTGTATGTGTTATAATCTTTTAAAAACACATACATGAACCTGAGGAGGGGGAGGAGCCAAGATGGTGGTGTGAGTAGGGCAGAGGAAATCTCCCAAAACCACATATATTTTTGAAAATACAACAAATACAACTATTGCTAAAAGAGAGACCAGAGGATACAGTACAACAGCCAGGCTACATCTACATCTCCGAGAATTCAGCATGTCAAGAAGGGGGTAAGATACAAGCCACGGCCCAGCAGGACCCGAGCACTCCCCGACCCCAGCTCACCAGCAGGAGGAAAGGAGTCAGAGCGGGGAGGGAGTGAAAGCACAGGACCACTAAATAACCACCCCTAGTAATCTGTACCAGGAGCACAGACATGCATTGCATGGTGTGCTGGATATTAAGGAAACGGAAAAGTAAAATCTGCAAGCAGGTTGCCGCCCGGCTCCCCTGGGACAAAAGAAAAGAGAGTGCTTTTGAAAGTCTTAAACAGACAGGTGACTCACAGCTGGACAGAATTGTCCCGGCACAGTGAGCCCAGCAGACTGTGAATCCTGAGGAACTTCAGGTGCCCCAGCCCCTGGGGTGGTAACGCAGCTCTGAAGCCCCTCACAGCTATCAGCAGCCTGCCATTCATTCCCTTACCAGCTGGTGTGGCAGCAGAGCAGCTGGAGAGCGGCCCCACCCACAGCAACCAGCCAGTCTCCTTCAGGCATGCAGCCACCCAGGCCAGACACAGAGGACACTGCCAGTGAGCAGCTGCCTGGCGCAGGCAGACGAAGCCTGGGCAAGTTGCGAAGGGGCACCATACTCACAGGAGAGCACACACGGCACACCTGCCACACACCCTGTGGGCCTCTGGGCTACCCTGACAGCGGCCCCACCTGTGGTAGCTCAGGGGACTAAACTGGAGGCTGCACCAGATGTGCCAGTAACTGACACAGGTAGCAGAGAAGAGCAAGGCGACCAGCAAGCAGGAAGGGACTTTGTTCTCCCAGCTGACACATGCCTACAACTACCTCTATCACCATGAAAAGGCAGAAGACTTTGGTCCAGTCCATAATTACCCACACAACCCCTGAGAGACGGCCTGGGGAGATTGATTGAATCAATCTTCCTGAAAAAGAATTCAAAGGAAAGGTCAAAACCATGCTGATGGACCTGCAGAGAAGCATGCAAGAGCTAAGGGATGAAGTCAGGATGAAGAATACAGAAATAAAACAATCTCTGTAAGAACTTAGGAGCAGAATGGATGAGGTGCAAAAGACTGTTAACAGAATAGAAATCAGAGAATAGGAATACAGAGAAGCTTAGGCAGAAAGAGATAAAAAGATCTCCAGGTATGAAAGACTATTAAGACAACTGTGTGAACAAACCAAACAGAAAAATATCTGCATTATAGGGGTACCAGAAGAAGAAGAAGAGAGAAAAAGGGATAGAAAGTGTCTTGGAAGAATTATTTGCTGAAAGCTTCCCCAAACTGGGGAAGGAAATAGCCTCTCAGACCATGGTAGCCCACAGATCTCCCAACACAAGGGACCCAAGGAGGACAACACCACGACACATAATAGTAATTAAAATGGCAAAGATTGAAGACAAGGACAGTATTAAAGGCAGCAAGAGAGAGAAAAATGGTCACCTACAAAGGAAAACCCACCATGCTATCATCAGACTTCTCAACAGAAACCTTACAGGCCAGAAGAGAATGGCTTGATATATTTAATGCAATGAAACGGAAGGGCCTTGAAGCAAGAATACTGTACCCAGCATAATTATCATTTAAATATGATGGAGGGATTAGACAATTCTCAGACAAGCAAAAGTTGAGGGAATTTGCCTCCCACAAACCACCTCTACAGGATATTTTAAAGGGACTGCTCTAGATGGAAGCACTCCTAAGGCTAAATAGATGTCACCAGAGAAAATAAAATCACAACAAAGAAAGCAGACCAACCAAACAGTAACTAAAGGCAAAAAATAAAATCAACTATTCACAATAGCTGTCAACGGAAATACAAAAAAGTACAGAATAAAACACCCAGCACATAAAGAGTGGAGGAGGAGGAATAAGAATGGAGAGAAATAAAGAATAATCAGACTGTGTTTATAATAGCTTAATAAGAGATTTAAGTTAGATGGTTAGATGGTAAAGAGGCTACCTTAAATCTTTGGTAACCACGAATCCAAAGCCGGCAATGGCAATAAGTACATATCTTTCAATAATCACCCTAAATGTAAATGGACTGAATGCACCAGTCAAAAGACACAGTAATAGAATGGATAAAAAAGCAAGATCCATCTATATGCTGCTTACAAGAGACTCACCTCAAACCCAAAGACATACACAGACTAAAAGTCAAGGGATGGAAAAAGATATTTCATATAAACAATAGGGAGAAAAAAGCAGGTGTTCCAGTACTTCCATCAAACAAAATAGACTTCAAAACAAAAGCAACAAGAGATAAAGAAGGACATTACATAATGATAAAGGAGTCAGTCCAACAGGAGGATATAACCATTATAAATATGTATGCACCCAATAGAGGAGCACCAACATGTGTAAAACAAATACTAACAGACTTAAAGGAGGATATAGTATACAATGCACTCATTCTAGGAGACTTCAGCACACAACTCACTCCAAAGGACAGATCCACCAGATAGAAAATAAGGATATAGAGGCACTGAACAACACACTAGAACAGATGGACCTAAAAGACATCTACACAACTCTACACCCAAAAGCAGCAGGATACACATTTTCTCAAGTGCACATGGAACGTTTTCCAGAATAGGCCACATAATAGGCCACAAAAAGAGCCTCAGTAAATTCAAAAAGATTGAAATTGTACCAACCAACTTTTCAGACCACAAAGGTATAAAACTAGAAATAAATTGTACAAAGAAAAAGGCTCACAAACACATGGAGGCTTAAGAACATGCTCCTAAACAATCAATGGATCAATGACCAAATAAAAATAGAGATCAAGCAATATATGGAGACAAATGACAACAACAGCACGAAGCACCAACTTCTGTGGGATGCAGCTAAGGCAGTTCTAAGAGGAAAGTATATAGCACTCCCAGCCTATTTAAAGGAAGAACAATCCCAAATGAATAGTCTAAAGTCACAATTGCTGAAACTGGAAAAAGAAGAACAAATGGGACCCAAAGTCAACTGAAGGAGGGACATAATAAAAATCAGAGAGGAAATAAATAAAATTGAAAAGAATAAAACAATAGAAAAAAATCAACGAAACCAAGAGTTGGTTCTTTGAGAAAATAAACAAAATAAGCCCCTAGACAGACATATTAAGAGAAAAAGAGAATCTACACACATAGACAGAATCAGAAATGGGAAAGGAAAATATCACGATGGACCAAACAGAAATACAAGACTCATTAGAGAATACTATGAGAATCTATATGCTAACAAGCTGGAAAACCTAGAAGAAATGGACAACTTCCTAGAAAAATACAATCTTCCAAGACTGACCAAGGAAGAAACAGAAAATCTAAACAGTACAATTACCAGCAAAGAAACTGAATCAGTAATCAAAAAACTACCCAAGGACAAAACCTCCAGGCAAGAGGGATTGACAGCTGAATTTTACCAGACATATAGAGAAGACATAATACCCATTCTCCTTAATGTTTTCCAAAAAGAAGAAGAGGAGGGAATACTTCCAAACTCATTCTGTGAAGCCAGCATCACTCTAATACCAAAACCAGGCAAAGACCCCACCAAAATAGAAAATTACAGATCAATATCCCTGATGAACATACATGAAAAATACTCAACGAAATACTAGCAAACCGAATTCAAAAATACATCAAGAGGATCATACACCATGATCAAGTGGGATTCATCTCAGGGATGCAAGGATGGTACAACATTCGAAAAGCCATCAACATCATCCACCACATCAACAAAAAGGACAAAACCCACAAGATCATCTCCATAGATACTGAAAAAGCATTCGACAAAATTCAACATCCATTCATGATAAAAATTCTCAACAAAATGGGTATAGAGGGCAAATACCTCAACATAATAAAGGCAATATATGACAAAACAACAGCCAACATCATACTTCACAGCAAGTACCTGAAAGCCTTTCTTCTAAGATAAGGAACAAGACAGGGATGCCCACTCTCCCCACTGTTATTCACATAGTACTGGAAGACCAAGCCAAGGCAATCAGACCACACAAAGAAATTAAAGGCATCCAGATTGGTAAAAAAAAGAAGTGAAATTGTCACTATTGGCAGATGGCATGATATTGTACATAAAATACCCTAAAGATTCCATTCCAAAACTACTAGAACTAATATCTGAATTCAGCAAAGTTGCAGGATACAAAATTAATACACAGAAATCTGATGCTTTCCTATAAACTAACAATGAAGTAGCAGAGAGAAAAATCAGGAAAACAATTCCATTCACAATTGCATCAAAAAGAAAAAAATACCTAGGAATAAACCTAAACAAGGAAGTGAAAGACCTATACTCTGAAAACTACAAGACACTCTTAAAAGAAATTAAAGAGGACAATAACAAATGGAAACTCATCCCATGCTCTTGACTAGGAAAAATTAATTTTGCCAAATGACCATCCTGCTGAAAGCAATCTACAGATTCAATGCAATTTCTATCAAAATACCAACAGCATTGTTCAAGGAACTGGAACAAATAGTTCTAAAATTCATATGGAACAACAAAAGACCCCGAACAGCCAAAGCAATCCTGAGAAGGAAGAATAAAGCAGGAGGGATCTCGCTTCCCAACTTCAACCTCTACTACAAAGCCACAGTAATTAAGACAATTTGGTACTGGCACAAGAACAGACCCACAGACAAGTGGAACAGAATAGAGAGTTCAGATATTAACCCAAACATATATGGTCAATTAATATAAGATAAAGGAGCCATGGACATACAATGGGGAAATGACAGCATCTTCAACAGCTGGTGTTGGCAAAACTGGACAGCTACATGTAAGAGAATGAAACTGGATGATTGTCTAACCCCATACACAAAGGTAAATTTGAAATGGATCAAAGAACTGAATGTAAGTCATGAAACCATAAAACTCTCAGAAAAAAACATAGGAAAAAATCTCTTGGACATAAACATGAGCAACTTCTTCATGAGCATATCACTCTAGGCAAGGGAAACAAAAGCAAAAATGAAATGGTGGGATTATATCAAGCTGAAAAGCTTCTGTACAGCAAAGGACACCACCAATAGAACAAAAAGGTATTCTACAGTATGGCAGAATATATTCATAAATGACAGATCCAATAAAGGGTTGACATCCAAAATACATGAAGAGCTCATGCACCTCAACAAAGAAGAAGCAAAAAATCCAATAAGAAAATGGTCAGAGGAGCTAAACAGACAGTTCTCCAAGAAGAAATTCAGACGGCCAACAGACACATCAAAAGATGCTCCACATTGCTAGTCATCAGAGAAATGCAAATTAAAACCACAACGAGAGATCACCTCACACCGGTAAGAATCGCCATCATCCGAAAGACAAACAACAAATGTTGCTGATGTCGTGAAGAAGGGGGAACCCTCCTACACTGATGGGGGGAATGTAAATTAGTTCAACCATTATGGAAAGCAGTATGGAGGTTCCTCAAAATACTCAAAATAGAACTGCCATTTGACCCAGGAATTCCACTCCTAGGAATTTACCCTACGAATGCAGCATCCCAGTTTGAAAAAGACATATGCACCCCTATGTTTATCACAGCACCGTTTACAATAGCCAAGAAATGGAAGCAACCTAAGTGTCCATCAGTAGATGAGTGGATAAAGAAGATGTGGTACATATACACAATGGAATATTATTCAGCCATAAGAAGAAAACAAATCCTTTCGTTTGCAACAACATGTATGTAGCTAGAGAATATTATGCTCAGTGAAATAAGCCAGGTGGAGAAAGACAAGTATCAAATGATTTCACTCATTTGTGGAGAAGGAGAACCAAGAAACTGAAGGAGAAAACAGCAGCAGACTCACAGAACCCAAGAACAGACATATAGTTACCAAAGGTTAAGGGACTAGGGAGGATGGGTGGGAAGGGAGGGATGGGGGGGTAATAAAGGGGGAATTATGATTAGCATGTATAATGTGGGGGGGGCACAGGGAGGGTTGTACAACACAGAGAAGACAAGTAGTGATTCTACAGCATCTTACTACGCTGATGGACAGTGACTGGAATGGGTTATGTGGGGGAAACTTGGTAATGGGGGGAGTCTAGTAAACATAATGTTCCTCATGTAATTGTAGATTAATGATACCAAAATTTTAAAAAATCACATACATGTATCATGCTCTTTTTCTATATTAACATTTTTGTTTCCTCACTATGCTTCAGTTTGGATATTTTATATTGATGTCTTCCAGTTCACTAATCCTGTCTTCTATGCATCTATTATACTGTAAAATCCATTGACTGAGAAATTAACATCACCTTTTGACTTTTCATGTAAACTTACCTTTTAGATTCCTTTTTGGAGTAAAACAATCTCTTTGTGTTGTTTACAAAGTTATTTCTGAGTTGGAAGACTGCTCTTTCCATATTTTTGTAATTCCTGTATTCCCCCATTCAGTCGGCTGCCACAGTCAAGCAGGCGGAAGGCACACTTTTTCTTCTGTCTGTACTGGAATTATTGCCTTTTTCTTTCCTAGAATTTCCACTTGGTTTCTTTATAGATTCTAATTCTCAGTGAAATTCTCCATTATCCACTGCCTTCACCATCTTTTCCTCTACTTTCATCACTTTTACTTTATCCTCTTGACCCTGTTAATCAGAGTTTTTAAAGGTTCTTGTCTGTGTGTTAACTGCAATATCTGGATTATTTGCAGATGTATTTATATTGCGTGTTTTTCTATTAGTTTTTTGGACATACAGTTCTCTTGGCATGCCTTTCAGTTTTTGCTTGAACAACTGGATGTTGTATAAAAATATTTTAGAAGCTCCAGATGATATGCCATCATTTCCAAAATGCGTTCACACTTTTAATCTGCTAAAACAGAGTAGGGACTGATCACTTTCATCCAGTCAAGGTTGAATTGAATCAAGACTAGGTTGCAGTTTTGGAAGGCTCCAGTGGCTTCCAACTGAAAGCTTGGTGTGGTAGGCAGGAAAATGGTAGGAAGAAAAGATGTCTGGGTCCCAAAGTCACAAATTGTGAACATGTTTTATTACCAGGCAAGGGAGGATTAAGGCTGCAGATTAAAGTTGCTAACCACAATGGCTTCAGGATAAAGAGATTATCCTGGATTATCTGGGTGGGCTGATCTAGTCAAGAATCCTTTCAGTGTGTGAGAGGGAAACAGAAGAGCTGGTGTCTGAGTGAAGCAATGTAAGAAAGACTCCGCCATTGCTGGTTTTGAAGATGGAAGAGGGTAGGGCAATGAGCCAAGAAATGTGAACAGCTCTAAAGCTGGAAAAGGCAAGACAATGGATTTGCCTGTCAAGCCTTCAAAAAGGACACCTGCTGCCGACATCCTGAGTTTAGCTCACTGAGATCCATTGCAGACTTTTGACCTACAACAACTGTAAGATAATAAATTTGTGTTGTTTTCAGCCACTACATTTGTGGTAATTGTTAGAGCAGCAGTAGGAAACTAATATACTTGGTACATTCTTTGGGCCCTCTCCAGGGTGTGGAGTTATCATTATTGTCTCCCATTCCATGGAGCTTCAAATTGTGCCAGTTATCTTAAGGGAAAACTGATCACTTGCTAGATTAAGTTCTCTGCACCCTACTTTCTCAATGAGATCGTGCCTGTACTTCTGCTTTTCCAGCCCTGAGTATGCCATAAGCTCTGATAGCAGTGCTCCTCTACTTGGCCAAAGCTGATACCTCCTGCCTTGTGCCCAGAAGTGGCAAATTCCCCCAGGGAAATGTGGTTGCAGAACATCATCTCACCTGTCTGTTACCCGTTCCCCTTTCCAAAAACTTGGTACCTCTAATCCCTAGCACTCCTAAATAGATGTTACTTTCTACTTTATCCACATTTTCTTGATGTATCCAACAAGATTACAATTCCTGCACAAGCTACTTCATCATGACAAAAGCACAAGTGAGGACTACGTTAGCTACTAATGTTTCACCTTTAGTTTCTAAGACTCTAGTATATCATTGCTGCATGGATGAGGTTTACAGGTTATTGTACACATTTATAACAGCTCAAGCTCTTCATTTATTCATACCTTTGAAGGGAAATCAGGTCTATAAGGGCAGTGATCACATTTCTCTTGTTCAACATGTTAATCCTAGGTTGGAAAAGGGTGTCTGGTGTAATATAGAAAATTATCAAATTGATGAAAAAATGCATATAAATGATTGTCTCAAAAATGGGTTGAGTGATCTTTGCAGGACCATGGACAAAAACCAAATAGGGTCAAGAGGCGAAATGTTCTCCTAAGGTTAATGATCTACGTAAGCTAATATAGCTCAAATCAATAGGGCCAAGTTACCCTCTGACTTCGGAGTAAGCAAATTGAAAACCTCCTATATACAAGACAAAGTGATACTGCAAAAGAAGGACATCTAACGCGCTAAAGCCATCTCTGTTGCTTTGGCACAACTTCTCACAATAGCAGAGCAGAAGGTTAGAAGATTGTATTGTAGGAAACAATACAAAGACTTCATGGTGGCCTTTGGAAAATAAGGAATTTGTAAAATTATCATTTATTGTGTTTATTGTGTGCCAGTTGTGCAAAAGCTTGCTCAGGTTTACCTCTTGTTTTTAGGTCCCAGATGCAGTTAGCTTTTCCAACCTTGTAAAATACCACATACTGAAAATTCCCTTTCATTTTTTGCTTGCATAAAAGCCAATTCTTCCCTGAGTTTGTCTCTTTCTTATAATATTTAATTAAGTGCAGCCAGCAGCAACCAACATTCTGTTTTACCTCATCACAGCAGGCTCAGCAGTCCTGTGTTCTGCCTTCCAGGTTACTGAAGACAGCCTCTTGAACAGGTGTTTTTGCTACTGCAAAGACTAATTCTGTGGCAGTTAACGTCATATAGTAATCTTATTTCTAAGTTATAATTCCCTATATTTACTCAATTATAATACTAGACACTTAAATATTAAACTCTAGCATTCAAAAAATATATTTCTATTTTTAATTTTCATACATCTTATCTATGTAGCAAAATATAGCAAGAAATACATTCCCATCACTCATGTTTTAAAGTAATTATTTTGTCATATTTCTTTCCAGTGTTTTTTCATTCTACAAACAAATAAATATAACTTTCCTTCATTTCTACCTCAAACAGAGTCTGGAGTGTCTGGTTCCAGGAAGGTGACCCTGGATGCCAGAGAGGTCATCCCTGAATCCCATCTTCTGAGGCAGGTGCCTGGGGGCACATCACAATTATTTCCCATTTTCACCGAAGTCTTCATGGGCAACCAATATAACCACTTTCACTGCTATTTAAGCAAACTTTATTGTGCATCAGAATCGTCTGGGGGGCCTGTGACAACACAGAAAGCTGGGTCCCACCCCCAGCATTACTGACTCAGCAGGTCTGAGGCCAGGACCAAGAATTTTCATTTCCAAGAACTCCTAAGAGATGGTGATGCACCTGGTGCAGGCACTGGACCAGGCAGGGTTCTCTGCTCTGTTTGCCAACATTAGGTACTTTGGGACAGATACAGTCCTTTCCTGCCGACGTGGAGACACAGATGGGAGAACTTGGCTGCTGGTCTCCTTTTCCAAAGACAAGGCTGCTCCTCTGCTCTTAAATCCAGCTGGCTTAAATCTAAAGGGTCGATTTCATTTTCCTCCTCCTCCTCTCCTGAGGCCTCCACTCAGCCCCAGGAATGTCAGGATGGGCTTCTGCCCCAGTGTGACCTTCATGCAGAGACGGGCAGGCAGCATGTGACAAGGAACAGTGTGGTGTGTCAGGAAGGGCATGGGCTTTCCAGGCACGCTGCCTCTCCTCAAGGCCAGGTGCAGCCTCTTCCTGGCCAGCCCTGGGCAAGCCACCCAGTCCTGAGCCTCGCTTTTCCCATCCGCACAACATGGGACAATGATGCCCACATCCTAGAGGACTGCTGAAAAAAGCAAACGGGAGCAGCGTCAGCAGGAGCCCTTTGTTGACTGCAAAGTAGCCAACTGATGGGAATCCTCACTGCAGCTTCAGGAGAGATGGGCTCCCTGACAATCAGCTGTGGCATCATCTTCTTTTCTGGCAACTCTAATTTTATATTTAAGGCTTTCCAGCGCCCTCTTTTCCAACCGCACAGCCTTCACCTTTGAGCCTCAGTGTTACTGATCCTGACTCACCTTCCATGCATGTATTCACACACTGAGAGCCAGGCTGCTCATTGCCATCTTCAGGTACTAAAAAGAAAGACGAAAACAATCAAGAGACATGGCATTAAACTCCCATATCCCTTAATGCAAAGTCTTGAGCTTCTCAATCTCAGAAGTCAAGAGTAAAATGAGGAGAAACACTAACTAAGCAGTTTGTCATTGGTTACCAACAAGCCGAGATTCCACAGGCCCATTTTACGTCCTCTGCCCTGATCTTTCCCGTTTGAACATTAGGTTCCATCCCAGAATCTCCCCAATACTCAGGGACTTTCAGAGAAAGGAAATGAGATGCTCACTGAAGAGGGCAGAAAGGCAGGAGGGGGACATTGCAGATCTTGACCCTTTTATAGTAGTATGCAATCAAGTCATCCTGAGAACTTTCTTTCCTTCAGACGTCTTGGCTGTGATAAACGGTGATTACATCGTTGCTGTATTGGAGGGAAAAGAACCCAGGTCACAGAGTCAAAAACACTTGGATGTCATTTTAGTTCTTCGAAAGACTGTAAGGCCTTGGACAACATCATTAACTTCTCTAAGCGTCAGTTTTTTAATCTGTGAAATGGAGATGCCACTGTTTGCGCATAGTGTTGTTTTGGACGGTAACACAGTTTCTCGCACACTGCAGGCCTTAGGGCAGGTGTAAAATATTTATTGAGGAAAGCCTCTTTTCCCCGGCTTTCCTTTCCCATCAGGACCTCCTCTAACGTCCCCTCCCACGAAGCCAAGGCACTGGGCCAGCTCCCTGCGGAGCCCACGTCCGTCCTTGAAAGCCCTGCGCCCCAGGCTACCCGGGCACCCCTCGGCCGGGTGAGCACAGCACCTTTCCGCCTGCGACCAGCCGCTTTGGACGCCTCCATCCCCTCCCCCGGCCGCGCGGTGGACTGCGTCACTTCCGCCGGAAGAGGCGAGCGCGTCAGCTCCGTTGGCGCGAAAGTCGGTTCGCGGTCTCAGTTATTTCCGTGTTGTGCCTCGGCCTCGGGCTTGGGGCGCCGCCGGGGACTTTCAGAGGCCGGCGGGGGTCGCGCCTTTCTAGCCCCAGTCCCCCGCCGACGTTCTGTGGGCCGCGAGTCCCCCACTCTCCGCCGGAAGACCCCCAGCCTCCACCGCGGTGAGCTGAGGCGCGGAGGAAGGCCACAGCCCAGCCGGCAGTCGTGAAGCCTTCTTTGGCCTTCGGGGCCCTCGGACCGCCGGGTGGGAACGTGCGTCGGCGAGCACAGGGCTGCGGCGGGGCCGAGAGCCGGGCCTTTCCTTGGGAGCTGCGGAGCAAGGCATACGGCCTTTTAGGTGGTACGACCTTGCTACCTGGCCTCCGTGTTGGTATTTAAAAGGCCGTTTACTCAGGGGTAACGAACTTCGAGCGCCCTGGATGTCGGCAGGGACAGACTTGTTCAGGGCATCCTTCAGCTAAGTGCAATAGGGGACTTCAAGCCCCATAACATAGTTAAGGCCTCAGTGTGTTCACTTTAGGGACATTAATTTCCTTTTCTGAGTTGCGGGGATTGGTGTTGTCACCTATTTTATTGACTTTGCCCACATTACAGTGTTTATTACAAACCGTAATGAACGAATTCATGGGCAAGGCTGGAATGTCTAAGTTATTCTTGTCTGTGCAGTAAAGTAGGTGCTTTAAACATTTAACTTCCTACGTAATGTGTTTTGTTCTTGTTAATGGTTCTTTATTTTGACAGTTCAAAAATGTCCAGAAATGACAAGGAACCGTTCTTTGTGAAGTTTTTAAAGTCTTCTGACAATTCTGAATGTTTTTTTAAAGCTCTTGAGGTAAGAGTAGTTGAAAACCCCGTTTCATGTTGTTAATTCATTTTCTTGTTTTTAATGTTTTTGATTTATTGGGCTTTTTATGTGTTATTTACAGCTTCACAATCGTTTTATCTTCATTAATATAGATATACCATTGTTACGTATTTTTTAATTCATGTAAGTATATTATGTATTTGGGGCATTGAAATCTATTACGTCATCTTTATTGAAAGTGGCAGACATGCTGTTCTTGGAAATTACGTTGCTTTTTTATTTTACTTATTTTATTGTCTAGTAACCAGAGTATATTTTGTGTGCTGAAAAAATTTGAGTCAGTCATGTACTGGTTACACTTCATTTTTTGGTTAATTATTAAGAGTATGTTTTATTATGTTCAGTTAATATGGGATGACGTGTCGGCGTAGTGTACAGCCTTGCTCACAGATCCCGGCAGTATCAGCGTGTCCTAAGAGTTTGTTAGAAATGCAGAATCTTGGGCCCCAACTCAGACTTACCAGTTACAATCTGCATCTTTAGATCCTCAGCATGAATCCTGTGTATATTAAAGTTTAAGAAATAGTGTTGTAGCTGTTTTTTCTTCAGAGTTCATTCACTCATGAAATACTTATTGCTTGTCCATTATCTGATAAGCACTGTACTTGGGATAGATCAGTGATCAGAGCAGGCAGAGATCCGTTCTTTCTCAGAGCTTACATTCCATTCTAGCAGGAGGAAATAGACATTAGTCAGACATGATAAGGCAATGAACTGTGTAGTATGTGACAAGATGCTGAGTGCTATGAAAAGAGAAAGAGAAAAACAGGTGAAGGGTCCTAGAGAATGTTTGTTGGAGGAGAAGGGAAAGTTACTATTTTAAATAGAATGATCAGAATTGGCTGTATGGAGAAGATAGTAGTTGAGATAGTTAGCCAGCCATGTGGATGTCTGGGGAAGACAACTTCAAACAGAGGGAACAACAATGCACAGGCCCCTGGGAAAGTGCTTGGAGTGTCTTTCCAACTTGAGCGTGGCTATAGTGTACTGAGCAAGGGATGGAGGAAGAATGTTAAGAGTTGCTTCAGAGAATAAGAGTAAAGAGTCATGTTCAGCTTTGTGGGCCATTTAAGGATTTTGGCTTTTTCCTTCAATGAGGTGGAGAGCCTTTGGTGGGTTCAAATCACAAGGAGTAACTAATTTGACTTAATTATTTTACAAGGATCATTCTAAGTATTTAACTTCAAGATTTGTTCAGAAAATATTGCAGTGCTTACTGGGTGCCAGGATATGGTGGCAAACAAGATAGGTCATGAAACTTCATTCCTATAAGGGAGAGAGACAAAAACTATATATAATATCAGTGTTATTTTTCTTCATAAAATAGAGGGAAAGGGTATTTTAGAAAACATGATCAGGAAAGGCATCTCTGAGAAAGTGACATTTGAGCAGATCTGATTGAAGAGAGGGATCAAGTCAGGTAAGCCCCGGGAGAAGAGTATTCTAGGCAGCAGGAGCAAGAGCAAAGCCCCTTACCTTAATGAGGTCCTGCTTAGCTTGTTCGAGGCCTAGCAAGAAAGCAGGAGTGGCTAGAGAACAGGCCAGAGGGAAAGGTGTAGAGGGTAAGGGTGGGAAGGTAAGTACAGCCCTGACTCTGTGGTCTTGTTGGCCGCCATAAGAAATGTGGATTTTATTCTCTGTGTGTTGGGAAGCTGGTAAAGGTTTTTGAACAGAGGGTGACAAACCTGATTTGTATTGTTAAAAAGGTTACTGGCTGCTGTGTGGAGAGTAGATTCAGGACAAGAGAGGCAATTTAGATAAAGAACCGCTTTCAGGGACTTCTGCAGAGGTCTCAGTGAGAGACGATAGGAAATTTCAGTAGGGAAAAGGCTGGATTTGGGATGGATTTTTGAAGGTAGAATTTATAAGACTTAAATACATGTGAGTACTATCAGATACATTCTCATTTCCTTTTTCTTTCAGTCAATAAAAGAGTTCCAATCAGAAGACTATCTTCAGATTATTACAGAAGAGGAGGCATTGAAAATAGAGGAGAGTGATAGATCGCTTTATATCTGCGATCCTTTTAGTGGTGTTGCCTTTGATCACCTCAAAACGGTTTGTTAAATTTTAGTGTGTTCCTTCATAGTCTGTTTAGTTTGTTTTTGCTTCAGAGGACGTAAGTTCTTTCTGATCATGAAGTATTATGAAAATTATGAACAGAGAGGAATCTTTTGGTTTTGGGAGATGAATAATATTTTTAAAGACTAATTTTGTTACAGTAGGCTTTTGCATGTAGTTTTTATATTTCTGGGTATTTAACTTCACTTACTATAAGTGAACCCTATAAAACAGTAATGAAAGACTTCAGTGATGGAGTTCTACTGTACTTAAACTCAGTTTGATTGCAAGATGTTTCAGGGAGAAATAATAAAGAGTAGGAAAAGATCTCTGTGTAATGCTTGGTTACTATCTCTCTTGTGTGCTGTTGCATGTTCTTTTTAGTACCTGTACCTTTTATACGGTCTGGAAAATTAAAAGATGACAAGAAGCATTTGGGGGATGAATGTTGCTTATATACCAATGAGCCATCTTACTTCTTTTTGTTGAATCTAGAGTCTACTGACTCACTACTTTTTTGGTGTCTGGACAAGAGAGAAGCATTGAAATAAGAGTAAACTGGTTGTAATTCCATCCAGTTTCCAAAGAAGTGATTCTTGTTTGAAGGAGAAGAAAACATAGAAGAGTAGGTAGATGCAGTAACTATTACGATTTATGGAAGGTCTGTACCCACAGTTGCCAAAAGCATTGTTGGTCTTACCCTCCTTTTGGAAATAACACTGCTTGTCAGATAGAACCAAAGCATCAAAAACTTAGTTTTCTTATGAATGACCAAAAAGATAGTAATTTACCCTCTAGATATTTGAGTCAGTTGCGCAGTGGTAACTTTGGCAGCTGTAGGCTTCTTAATATATCTTGAGTACACACAGGACTGCTGCCTTTCTTAACTCAATTATCAAAGGATATGAAAGGTCATTTTTTGAGTATCCTACAGTATCTTAAAAGAAGACTTTGAGAACCTTCTTTGGAAAGACATTGAGTTGCACAAAAAGTGTCTGAAGCACAAATGTAGAAAGTACCTCGAATAATATTTTTTTGGTGACAGTAGGTATTTTAGAGGGGTTATTTAGGGTTTAATACTTTTAAACATTTTTGGCTGGGTGCTTCATTTGAAAGGATATTTCCTAATTATTGTAGGTTATGATTATTACTCATACACCCCTACCATTAAGATTGTGTTTATTTCAAAGATTAACATTTTTATGACAGTTCTGAGCGAGCATGGCTCTGGAGTGTATTTCTTTTAATAGCTGCCTCATTTGATTGCATGCATGCACCCGTGTGTGTGTTTATTTAATGTGTAGTTAGTGTACCTGAGAAATTGTATTGTGGTCTTTTTTTCTTGTAACAGTTTGGTGATTTTTCTGTAGTACTCATCAGCTTCCATAAAGAATTCGTAAATAATACAGAATGTAGTTTTATAAGACTGAAGGTATTTTCCTACTTATGAAACTTTTTTTTATAGCTTGGCTGCAGAATTGTTGGTCCTCAAGTAGTCATATTTTGTATGCACCACAACCGATGTGTCCCAAGAGCTGAACATCCGGTTTATAATATGGTTATGTCTGATGTAACTGTATCTTGTACAAGCCTGGAGAAAGACAAAAGGGTAGGTGTTGAGAGGAAAATCATGATCTATGTATATATTTCCACACTCAGTGTTTCACTGCACAGGAGACACTTAGGAAGACATTGCACTTGGTATTCCTGACTTACAGCAAACTCAGTATACAACAGTGTATATCTTTTTTTTCTCTTTTTTAATCAAATATGGTGAAATCTTACCAAAAACTGGTTAACTGAATTTTAAGGGAGACTCACTTTTTCCCTACACAGTCTATTTTTGTAGAGAAAAATCACATTTTGAATCACATTTTATCCACCATAGATGTTTAGTCTTTTTAAAAAAGGGATTCTAAGAGGGAAATGTATGTATATTTTATATATATAATTTAGATGTTTTAAAACATCTAACATTGTTAATTAAAAAGCACCATAGTTTAGTTAATTTATGGAGCTGAAAAAAATAAATATAGGAAAGTAAGGTATAAATAAAGGTAATTATAATTCATATTTATCTCATTTCAGAAAAGTAATTTGGTTAATGATGTTAACGTTATTGTGGTAGGAAACATCTCTGCCTTCAAACTAACAACAATGAAAGATATTTATAGGATATTGTATAAAAATGAAAATGATACTGTTTGTTTTAGTATTCATAATATATTTTTCTTTTGGGGCTACAGGAAGAAGTTCATAAATATGTACAAATGATGGGTGGACGCGTATACAGAAACCTTAATATATCAGTAACTCATCTTATTGCAGGAGAAGTTGGTAGCAAGAAATACTTAGTTGCTGCAGGCCTAAAGAAACCTATTTTGCTTCCTTCTTGGATAAGAACGCTTTGGGAGAAGTCACAAGAGAAGTAAGAAAGACATTTAGATATTTTCTAGATTTGAAAAAATGATACATTCAGTCATCTTGGCATATTTTGGGGGTTTTATGATATCCTCTTTGTTGTTATTCAGGGACAAAAATGGGGTCATTACTCTTTTCTCCAATGAAAACAAAAGAGCAGAATCTACAAGCTCTTATTATCAAGTTGTAAGTTGATAGGTAGAATGGGCTCTGGGTTTAGATTTAACTACAATAGAAGAGATGCTTTGATAATATAAAATTGCTTTCAGCAATAAACATTTATAAGATAGTTAAGAAAATCAGTGGCAACTGTAGCTCTTGTGTTGTATTATCCTTCAGTAGTGTGCCCATATTTTAATATGGAGAGTAAATTAGCCGTTTTGGCAGTTGTATTCCCTCCCAAGAGGGCATGTGTAGGGTTGAATATAGATAAGTGTAAGCCATTAATTAAGATGTGATCACCCAATAAATGTTCATTGAGCCTATTTTATGGACTGGCCTGAGCTAGGCGTTATGTACAGAGTGAGCAAAGCAGCATAGTGTCCCTGCCGTTGGGGGGCTTTAAGCCTATTTCAGGGGGTAGAGTTGGGTTTCCCCTAACATTAGATTAACAAACATAAGTCCAGGGTCCATGTTTGAATTAAATAGGTATTTTCTACGTCTTCCTCCCAGCACATCCTAGACACGTCTTCCCATTGCCACCCGCATTCCCAGCCTGTTTCATCACATCTGCCTAGCATGACTGTAAAATAATAATGTATTTTTGTTGGTGTCCTGCCAAAAATCAGTGTATATTAATTATATAGTGTAACAGGATAAAAAGTTCATTTTTCTAGAGACAACCAAAGAGCCATTGGGCTTTTTGAGTAGGGATTCAGACTTAAAATTTTGGAAAATATGCAACTTTGACTAGCATGGACTTAGAGTTAATGAAATGTATATATTTTCCTTTAGAACAGTTTGATTTGAAAGACTTTATCTGAAACATTAATCTTTACTAGAGACATGATGTTGAGCTACATGAGCAATTAGTGTAATTCTGAGTGTCGATTCCCCTTTTAAAAATGATTAAAACTCTAAAGAATGAGGAAAGCATTAGCAATGTTTCTGTCATTTACTATTATTCTGGTACATATTTAACTACCTGATATATTTAATATGTTAATATTTTTCTTTTTATTATTTGTTTTCCTCAGAAAAATAGCTAGATATACTGATATAAGCATGGAAGATTTCAAGTGTCCTATTTTTCTTGGTTGCATTATCTGTGTGACTGGATTGTGTACCTTAGACAGGAGGGCAGTTCAGCAACTCACAGTTAAGCATGGAGGTCAATACATGGGCCAGTTGAAAATGAATGAATGTACACACCTTATTGTACAAGAACCAAAAGGTAAAACTGTGTTTCCTAAATGGACAAATGCAAACTTTTCTCTAGTAGTTAACATTTAAAAATATTCACAGAATAGCTTCTACTTCTAATGTGTCATAAATCTAGTAGGATTATTTTTCTCCCTAAAATCTTATCAGGGTAGTTTGGTTCATAATCTGTAGAAAAATTACACAACTATCCTAGCATTAATCCAAGTCAGTGAATAAATATTAAAAACAAATTTCCAGTGGTATTTTATATAAATTTATTATCCTATTCTTTTTAAGTCCCCTGCACAGTTACCAAATAACTTAAAGAAATAAGAAATTTGTATGAATAACAAGAAAACTGATAGATGTAGCTAAATGGCGTTTCTTTCTAATGACAAATTTAGAAGGGTTGGCTTATTTTTAACTGAATGAATCAGCTTTACTGAATGAACTCTTAAGTTTTAACTTGGAAGATACACCTCGCAGAACATGAGGCAATTAAAAGAAAAATAATACATTGTGAATAAGAACAATTCTTTGAAATTGCTTTTAATTTTGGTGTTTTGTTACCTTTATATATATTCTAGAGGATATTTTTTACCAGTAGTCTTAAAATACATTAAATATACTGTTAGTAATATATTAAATATGCTTTTATTGTCTCTGTCTATAGTGTGTTTTTGTAAACTGGAGAAGAAACAAAAATTAGAAAAAAAATTGTTAAAATCAGTTAATTTATTCTTAAGTTAGAAGTTTGGTTATGGCCAGTTAACGGTATAATGATTATGGGTAGAGTTATAACTGTTGTTGATTTCCAAATCTGAAAGCAGTTCATCTCTTGGCTCTCAAGTATGTTCAAAAAAAATCTTGTGTATTATCATTTGCTATATATTGACTTCAATTTCACTAGGATACTATTTCAAAATACATTGTGTTAAAATCTCTTTTTAAGGCAATAAAAGATTTATATTTTCAGTATGATTTATCTACTTACCTATCTATCCTGGACTTGAGGTAGAATCCTGATAGGTATAGTCTGTTTAAAGCTGATATTTTTTTATATTGTAAACATGTACATTTTTCACAGTTTTATGTAGTCTTTTTTAAAACCATGTAATTTTGTGAGTAATCATGTTACAAATTAAAAAACTGGTATAAAGAAATTTATGTACGCAATACTCAAACCGAGTCTAATATTATTTAAGTTACCCCATAGTTGTCTCTGTCTCTGCAACTTTGCAAAAGATAAACCCTCTCACATACCACATGTATTTACACAACACAAAGAAGATATATAGTTGGGTAATAACCTAAAATATTACTTCTTAATACGCTGTGTCACATTGTTCAAAAGTAAGAGTAATTACTGGTACCTTTAATTTTTTGTCTCAGGTGGGTTTTTTTCATAACCTGTCAGTATGAATATTTCTGCAAAGAGATTTTTAATGGTTTGCGTTTCCCTCTCTTTCTTAATGAACATGATAGGTCAGAAATATGAATGTGCCAAGAGATGGAATGTACACTGTGTGACCACAAAATGGTTTTTTGACAGTGTTGACAAAGGTTTTTGTCAGGATGAATCCATATACAAGACAGAACCTAGGCCAGAAGCGAAGATTATGCCTGATACTTCGACTCCTGCTGGCCAGATGAACACAATTGATAGTAAGTGTCATTGGATTAAAATAAACCATCACTTTTAAGAGAGTTTTCTATGTAAGAACTAATCGGTTAAGAGGACCAGTGAGATACAGTAAGGAATTCCATCTTTCCTTGCTGTACTTCTAGGCATAATTGTATAATAAAATAACCAAGTTGTATAAAAATTAGCCCATAACTCCTGATACTTCTTTTTTTCATAATTGCATACTTGCTTTCATACTCTGACATATGCAAAAGATGATTAAAGAAATTAAGAACCTAAAGAGTTTTTTTTTAACTTGACTGACATTCAAATATTAGTATTTTTTCCTTCCATTGTTTTAGATCATCTGTATTCATGTAGAATTTAAAACTATTCCTGTTTTGTAGATGCCATTTTGGTAATTCAGCAAATGTTACAAATTTTTAAGTATTTTTTATTGAGGAGTAGTTGATATACAATATTGTATTGGTCTCAAGTATACAACACTGATTCAACACTTACCCACATTAGTAGTAAATCCTTACCCCAGCTAGTGCAGTTAGTATGTGTCAACATAGGAAGATGTTTATAGAATCATTGGCTATATTCTCCATGCTATACTACCATCCCTTTGACCAACTTACATTATGATTGAGAATTTTGTGCCCCTTTGTCTCAAATCCCCTCCCCACCCATCCACGCTCACCTCTCCCCACAGGCCCTTCCCCATGGTAACCACCAGTCCTTCTCAGTGACTACGGAGACTACTGCTTTGTTCATTTGTTTTGCTTTGTTTTTAGATTCCATGTAAGTGAAATCATACGGTATTTTTTTTCTGTCTGGGTTATTTCACTTAGCATAATACCCTCTAAGTCCATTCATGTTGTCACAAATGTCAGGATTTCTTTCCTTTTGTATGACAATTTTTTTTTCTTTTAATGTAATCTTCCTGGACCTTAAAGCCAGCAACTTCAGATTTTTGTTGGAAGCAAGCCACTGTTAAAAACATTTAAATACATTTTCATTTGAATATGATCTGAACCTTAGTTTCATTTTCCCTTTTCATACTTGGCCACCAAGATTTCAGTAAAAACATTAAAACATTTGAATATTCTTTTGGAAATTTTTCATAGCACCTTGTATATAAGAAAAGTTAATTTACAGGAAAATATGTAATCATAATTAATTTTACCTCTGTAAATTTATACATCTTTGTTCAATATGTAGGTCATACTCTTTCAGATGCCAGCCATATTTCCACCATCAGTGCAAGTTGCATAAATGAATCAATATGTAATTCAGTTCTTAATGGCAAAGTGGAGGCTACACTTGCAAATCTAGAAAGTCTGGATGTCAGTGCATTTCAAGCACCTGAAGATTTATTAGATGGTTGTCGGGTATGTCTTTATTATGCAATACACACAGTAAGAAAATAACATACATTAGTACTCTCTAGCCTGACTTTGAAGACCCATCAGATTTGGGCTTGCTCCTTATCAGCATAAGCCCTCCGCTCTAGCTCAGCAGTTGCTGTCATTGGGCCATGTCCATCCTTAGCTGTCAGGGTCCCTCTGCCTGGGATGTACCTTCCTCTGTCATCCTTCAGAGTTCGTGTAATTTTTCACCTCTTCTCTGAACACTTCTAACTATATTAATCTTTTCATCTACTGTATTTTGAGAGCTCTTCATTTCTGAACCACTTAATGGATTTTTATTTATAGCTATTAAGTGTTATACACAGTGCTAATCATTTCATATATATTGTTAGTATGTTGTGTATCTCATTTAATTGCCACAAGTAAATCTAAAGTGGGTATTACCCTGAGGCTGGCACCTAAAGAGGATTAAGTTTCTTGTTCAGAGTCACACAGACATTAAGTAGCTAGCCATAAACTCCAAAACCTGTATTCCTCACCTTTAGGCATAATGCTTTATTTACTATCTCTTGGGCTATTGAATCTTTTAGTACACGACTAACTATCTAATAAACACCTGATGGAAACATCAGATGTTGTAGATCTCCTAGAGTTGCGTACTTACTTAAAATATTCCTTCTTTTAGAAAGAATGGGTTATGTTTTATTCTCAATGAATAACCAAGATTTAACCCTATTTTATTGTTAAAAAAGTAAATTGGGCAAATTGCCTTATCCTGCTGTGCTTTTAAAACTTACCAGCTTACTGACAGAACAAAAGTGTCTTGTATAATCTTTTATCCTAGATTATACTAATTTCAGACAGGACTTTCAGTTACTCTTTACTTATAGGAAATACGTGATTCCTAGTTTTCATTTAAAATATATCCTGATAATGGAGGTGATTTAGTTTAGAATATAAATGCAGTCAGGAATAGATTTGTCATTTTTAGGGAAATTTTTAAAACATTACAAAAAAAAAGATGAAAGATATTTTTATATTGATTAGATTGGTTTAAATATCTACATGCTGATAATTAAAAATAAATTACTACATATATATTATTCTGAAGACATGCTTAGCCTGTTGGCTTAAATTTTCTTGTTTAGTCAGCTCTGGAAAAGAGATCTCAATTTATAAGTAGGAAAAATGGTTCAAAGAGCCTAAGTTGCCATGGTCATCACTGGCAGCTGAACCAAATTATAAGCCTAGATTTTCTGCATTCAGATATTTAATTCCAGTTTATTTCTAAATTTACTTCAAAGTTTACACGTAGTGAGATCTTTACAATATAAGAAGCTATCTGCATTTTAGAAAGTGCTATGCACTAATATTTAGAAGATAATAGAATTTTACCTTCTATTTTATTTAAAGCCTCAAATTACTAAGTGTCTGCTGTGAAGAATAATAATGCTATGGGACTGAAGAAGTGAGAAAGAAATCAAAGATTTGGAGTTGTTATAATGAGTTTCAGAATGTACTGCAATTCTTAATATATCTTAAAATGTATATGAGACTTCTTTTATTTATACACAATGGATCCAGATACGTGTTTTTAATGAATATGTTTCTATTGAAGTAAAGTAACCACCATAAATGCATCATTCTAAAAGTAAACACGTTCTTTCTTTGCAGATATATCTTTGCGGTTTCAGTGGGAGAAAGCTAGATAAACTCAGAAGGCTTATTAACAGTGGAGGTGGAGTTCGTTTCAATCAGCTCAATGAAGATGTAACTCATGTTATTGTGGGAGATTTTGATGATGAATTGAAGCAGTTTTGGAATAAATCAGCCCACAGGTTTTGTCAGTTTTTTAGTTCAAAGCCATTTCTATTTTTAATGGTTTTTCTTAAAAATGCATATCCATATAATTATGAAAACTGCATGGCAAGTGGGGTGATGGTCTTTATAGTTTAAACTAATATGTAACTATGTACTATTTTTATAGGCCTCATGTAGTGGGAGCAAAATGGTTGCTAGAGTGTTTTAGTAAAGGTTATATGCTTCCTGAAGAGCCATATATTCATTGGAACTACCAGCCAGTGGAAATTACAGTTTCAGATCAACCTGCAGTTAAAACAGCCCTTTTAAAAAAACCCACCAGCTTCTCTCAGAAAGACATTGCTTCTAATGAAAAGCATAAGCAAACTGATGAAGATCTGCTCTCTCAGTATGTAAATAAACTGCCAATAGGTAAGAAATAATTGATTAGTATTTATAGTATTAAATATTTTAGCAGAATACATACATAGGTGATTTCTGTCAGGTTTACTGGATTTTGAGTTAGACTAAACTTTTTCTAAAAGTTTTATGTTTTTCTAGGATAGGGAGTTCATTCTGAGCCCTCTGACCCCCTCTTCTCTCCTCCGCTCACCAGCTCTGCTTTGATCTGTTTTACATACCAGTATCACTTGGTTTGTGTGAATTGGTAACAGCATGAGCTTTTATTGGAACCTTGTTGGTGAATGCCTCTTACCTGGTTCCTTGGTCTTTGGTGCATATGGTGCCACCTTAGTGTGTAGTCCCCCCAGGGTGGTAAGGGAATTTGCTGGTGAAGAGTTGTGAGCATTTCTTAAAATTTATTATGAAATATATAATACATGCAAAAAATATCAAGAGTAATGTGATGAATAACCATATATTACTGTCTAGCTATAAAAAAATAGAATATTCCACTATGCCAAAAGTCTCTTGGGAGGGAATCCTTCCCCCTTTGCTTACTAGTGTAAATGTATATATATGTGTAAGCAGTATATGTACTCTTTCATTTTGTGTATATTTTAACTTGGATAAATGATACATGGTGTGTATTCTTTTGGTATCTACCCCCCAACATGAGAGAACTCATCTAATCCATGTAACTGATTATGACTATACCATACTGCCATATGAACATGAATATATTGTGATTTATCTGTTTTCCCACCCAGGGACATTTTCACTGTG